AAGGTGGTTCAGTGTGTTTGTAGTTGTGGTTGTATCTTCTAATCTATTCCATTGATTTTTGGTTCTGTTTTGATTCCAATGCCATGTTGATTTTACTACAGTTGTTTTGTAGTATAACATCAGGCCAGGGATTGTGATGCCTCCTGCCTTGCCTTTGCTGCTTAGAACTGCCTTTACTATTCTAGGTCTCTTCTGATTCCAGATGAATTTTAGGATTGATTTCTCGAGATCTATGAGGTATGTTGATGGTATTCTTATTGGAATAGCGTTGAATATGTATAATAGTTTTGGGAGAATGGCCGTTTTCCCAACATTTATTCTTCCTATTCATGAGCAAGGGATGTCTTTTGATTTGCTGAGATTCTCTTCAATTTCTTTTTTCAGTGTATTGTAATTTTCCCTATATAGATCTTTCACTTCTTTCATGAGAATAATTCCTAAATATTTCATTTTATTTGTTTGCTAGTGGGAAGGGTGTGGCTTCGCTTATTTCTCTCTCTGTGATTTTGTTGTTATTTTACAGAAATGCTATTGATTTTTGAGCACTGATTTTGCCTCCAGCTGAATTTATTTATTATATCTAGGAGTCTTTCAATGGACTTTTGGGGGTCTTCTATGTACAGTACCATATCATCTGCAAATAGTGATAATTTAACTCCTTCTTTCCTATCTTTTCCCCTTTTATTTCTCTCTCTTGTCTAATTGCTCTGTCTAGTATATCCAGTACTGTATTAAGTAGGAGCAGTGATAAGGGACATCCTGGTCTTGTGCCTGATTTTAAGGTAAAGGCCTTCAGTTTTTGGCCATTTAGTATGATACTGGTAATTGGTTTGTCAAAGACGGCCTTTATCATATTAGGTTAAAGACCACCTATTCCAATATTTGTAAGGTTCTTATCATAAAAGTGGTTAGATCTTATCAAAAGCTTTTTCTGCATCTATAGAAATGATAATGTGATTCTTACTTTTGGCTTTATTGATATGGTGGATTACATTTATTTATTTATGTATGCTGAACCATCCCTGCATGCCTGAGATGAATCCCACTTGGTCATGGTGTATAATCTTCTTGATGATTTGCTACATCCTATTTGCCAATATTTTATTGAGGATTTTTGCATCTGTGTTCATTAGGTTGACTGGCCTATTTTTCTCTTTTTTAGTTGGGTCATTCTCAGGTTTTGGTATGAAAGCAATATTTGCTTCCAGGAATGACTTAGGAAGGATTGTTTCCCTCTCAATTTAATTGAAGAGTTTGAGGAGTGTGGGGATTAAGTCTTCTTTGTGATACTTGTACAGTTCCACAGTGAATCCATCTGGGCCTGGGCTCTTCTTTGTAGGTAAGGACTTAATTACATTTTCAATTTCATTAATAGAAATTGAATTATTCACCAGTTTTATGTCTTCTTAACCCAGCTTTGGTACTTCATATGTTTCTAGAAATCTGTCAGTCTCTTCTGTATTATCAAACCTATGAGAGGAGAGGATTCCAAAAGGCATTGATGATCTTCTGATTTTTTTTATTATGGAGAAAAAGAAAAAAGCAGAAATAGGGTACAAGTTACACAGAATTTCAGAAAACAAAAACAGTAGGAAATGACTAGTTAATAGATTACACATTGTTACCTTAGAAATAGTTGTTCAAGTTACAAAATTAAAGCACATAAAGTGGACTTTTGAACAGTGAGACTGGAAACAGTTTTGTTCAATGATCCAACAAAACTCAGTAATATGGTTATCTATCTTATACACTTAAATATATATGCGGTTATATTCTTGAGAGCACTTTCTTTTCCTTTCTTTTGTACAATGACAATTACACATTTTGGGTTTTATTACTCCCACAGTTCTTATTACTTTTGTTTGAAGACAGTAAAACCAGACGCGACATAACAGAACAGAGTCAGTCAAATCGAAAGGATGAACATATTAGATAATGTAAAAACAAAGTACTGGGTGATCAACAATGTTTACCATACTACCTCTTGCTATATTAAAAAGAATTGCCTATATCATTAGTTATCATAAAATTGAACAAAGCAGTAAAAAATAAAACCAAAACATTGGAGACATTACAGGACTTTAAAAGAAGATAATAGTCAACCGGAATGGGAATCATAATGCATCTTATTGTCTTTACAGTTGTTGCCTATACTTTCAAACTTGGTACTATCAAGCAAGCAGAATAGAGGAAAATCAGTCAAAGCAAGATGGTGAGGGCTATACAGGGTTTCAAATCAAGTTAATAGGAAATCAAAGTGGGTTACTATAATGTATACTGCTATTTTTTAAAAAGAAAAATAAAAAATAAATAATTTTTTAAAAAGAGACTGAGATAAAAGAGAGCATAACAAAACAAAACAGCGCAGGTCAAAGCATAACTATTTAAGCTAAATAGTGTTTCACCACAAGACATCCCGACATAAAAATAGTTACCATAGTGTATCTTTCCTTGAAATCTTTGAGTATAACTTCATATGCTGTAGCACCTAACATATCAAGACAATGTAAAACCACTGAAAAGAATGACAGTATTACAGGGTATTTAGAACCAACTATCAGAAAATGAACAATGGTTTCTGTATAATCTCCTTGTCTATAAAAGTTTTTGCTTATATTATCACATATAGTAAAATCCAGTAAGATACAGACTCTGACTCTGTTCTTCTTCCTGTTAAGACCAATGGAGACAGAAGAATAAAAGCTTGATGGGACTTCAAAGCAAGATGATATTAAATCAGCACTAGCTATTATGATGTCTTGTTTTCTCCAAAATAGTTGTTCCTACCATCCAATCTTCTCTGCCTCATTTCTGTTGAGATCTTTTCTGATCATTTGTTGTCAGTTTGTCTTCTTCATTTCACTTTCTGCTGCACTCATTGTGGCCTCTCTGCCACTGTTTCTGAAGTCTTGATATTTTCCTTTTTTAGAATATCCTGCAGTATTCTCTGTAGAGTTGAATTGGTGGTTGCAAATTCCCCTAGTTCCTCTTTATCCTGGAAATGCCTTGTTTTTCCATCAATTTCTAGGGACAGTTGTGCAGGATATATCAATCTTGGCTGGAGGTTGTTATCTTTCAAAGCTTTCCCCCCATGCTCTTCATGATTTGATAGTTTGTGCCGAGAAGTCTGCTGTAATTTGGGTGGGTGTTCCTTTGTAAGTGATCTGTTTCTTGTCTCTGATGGCTTTTAGTATTCTGTTCTTATATTGGATTTCTGGAATTTTGATTATTATATGCCTGGGTGTAGTTCTGTTTGGGTTGTAGGTAGCTGGGGTCCGGTATGCCTCATTCATCTGAGTATCTTTACCTTTTGCTAAATTAGTAAAATTCTTTTGAATTATTTCTGTGAATAGCTTTTGTAGTCCATTTGTTTGTGTTCCTACTTCTTTTTTGTTCTTAATTCTTAGGTTATAGATCCTCTTATCATCTTCTAGCCTTTGTATTATTGCTGTTTGTTTTCTTGTTATTTTTAAGTTTTTCATTTCATGCTCCCATATTACAAGTCTGCTCTCCAATTCAGATAATCTATCCTTAGTTTCTTTCAAGCTGTTATGCCAGTTTTCAATAGAGTTTTTAGTTTCCTGGTAATCTCTTTGTATTTGCTTCACGTATTCTATGTTTTCTCTATTTTCTCCATCAAACAATTCTCCCCTTTTTTTCTGTTCTTCCATTCCACCATCTGTTTTTTCTTGGGCGGTGCTTAGCATTTCTCTAACTATTCTACTTTTATCTTGCTTTATTTCATTAAATACTTCATTTTTAAACTCGTCTATGAGGCTCTGAAGATATCACTTTATGTCTATTTGTGCTGTGTCTGATATTGCATTTTTTCTGTCTTCCTTTGCATTTCCCTTTCTTGGATCAGTGTTCTCAGGATTGGGGATTGAGGACCCTTTCTTCTTGCTTCCTCTTCCCATATTTTTTGTTCCTTCCATACAAGCGAATGTAGGAGGCCCAATTTTTTTTTCTTTTTTAGTTACAATTTGTTTGAATTGCACCGGCTATGTATTACCGCCCACTGCAGTGTACTAGGGAGACACAGACCTGGGCAGCCTCTGCTGGGCCTGCCCCTCCGGGTCAACCTACCAAAGGCTTCACCACTAGGGTGCACCTCCAGGCACTGGGACCTGGTTTGGGCTAGCCTACTGGGTCTTAGTCAGCATTGTCACGCAGACCAGGCACTCCCCACCAATCCCGCTTGAGAGGGGAATATGTAACTGAAACCACTGCAGTGCCCTGTTCCGGAAAGTCTGCCAGGTCCCAGTATGTCATTTGCTGGAGCCTCCTACTCTATGAAAAGGTCCCTGTTCCACTCACTCCCTGCAAGTCAATGTAGGGCTCCCTGCTAGTCCTGCTCTCAACTCCGTTTGCAGATTCCTGCTCTCAGAGCTTTTGTGCATCTCTCTCCATGCCCTGCAGATTTGAATGCAGCAGCGGCAGCAGGAAATTCAAATCGCATCTTCCAGTGGTGCGGGTTCTAGCTTCTGTACTGAGATTTTATCTGTTCCTGTTATAGCACCAGGATTGGATTTCCAGTTGGTTTCTCTTAGCTTAGTTCATTCCTGGGTTGGCAGGATGTATCTCCCCTTGCTTAGGACTCCTCGTACTGCAGCATTCCTGGATTCTAAGCAAGGTATCTCAGAGAGCCTCTGTAGCTGCTGCTATCTATCTGCTGTGTTCTTCCTGAAGTCGATCTTCTGTATTTCTACAGAAATAGCCTTTAGTGATTTTGCCTTTTTCATTTCTTATTGCATGAATTTGAGCTTTTTCTTCCATTTTTTAAATAAGATTGGCTAGGGGCTTATCAATTTTACTTATTCTTTCAAAGAACCAAATCTTTGATTCATTGATTCTTTGTATTGTTTTCTTAGTCTCTATTACAATAATTTCTGCTCTGATTTTTATAATTTCATCCCTTCTTTTGATTTTGGGCTTGACTCACCCTTCTTTTTCTAGATGTTTGAGGTTTAACATTGGGTTGTTTATTTGTATTTGTTCAGGTTGTTTCCTGAAGTGGCAACTCAGTGCAATAAATTTTCCTCTGAGGACCATTTTCATTGCATCCCACCGATTCTGGTAAATTGTGTTTGTATTTTCATTTGCTGGTAGGTATTGTTTAGTTTCTTCCTTAATTTCCCTTGTTACACATTGATTACTCAAGAGTGTGTTATTCCGTTTCCATGTGTTTATGGGAATTTTACAGTATCTTTTATCATTAATTTCTAGTTTCATGGCACTATGATCCGATAACATGCATGGGATAAATTCAACTCTTGTGCATTTATTTAAATATGTTCTGAGGTCTAGTATATGGTCTGTTTTAGAGAATGTCTCATGCACTGCTGAGAAGAATGTGTATTCTGATGTTGGATGGAACATTCTGTATATGTCTATCAAGTTCATTTGTTCATAGGTGATATTCCATTCTGTTTTTTGTTTGCTGATTTTCTGTCTGATCTGTCCCTTGTTGTCAATGGTGTGTTTAGGTCTCCTGTTATAATTGTGTTACTGCTAATTTTGTTTTTCATTTCTATTAACACTTGCTTTTATATAACTGGATGCTCTGGAATTTTTTGCATATATGTAGTTAAGATTGTTATGTCTTCCTCTTGAAGTTTTCCCTTAACCAGTATGTAATGACCTTCTTTATCTCTTCTAATCTTTCTTGGTTTGAAATTTACATTGTCTGCATACAGAATAGCTACCCTTGCTGTTTTTTGTGGGGGGTTTCCTGTTGCATGAAGTATTGTTTTCCACCCTTTGACTTTCAGTCTGTGAGCATCCTTTTGGGTTAGATGGGTTTCTTGTAAACAGCATATGGTTGCATGTTGTTTCTTGATCCATTCTGCCAGTCTGTTTCTTTTAATTGGTGCATTGATGCCATTTACATTAATGGTTATAACTCATATTAAATGGCCCAAAACTGAAAGCCTTTACCCTAAAATCAGGCACAAGATAAGGATGTCCCTTACCAGTACTGCTATTCAACATAGTGCTGGAAATACTAGCAAAGCAATTAGACAAGAAAGAGAAATAAAAATAGCAAGGACAGAAAAAGAGGAAGTTAAATTATCATTATTTGCAGATGACATGATACTCTACATAGAAGATCTGCAAAACTCCATTGAAAGACTCCTATGCATAATAAATAAATTCAGTAATGTAGCTGGATACAAAGTCAACACCCAAAAATCAATACCATTCCTATACACTAAAAACAAAATCACTGAGAGAGAAATAAGAGAAGCCACACCCATCACAATAACATCCAAAAAATAAAATACTTAGGAATCAATCTAACAAAAGAAATAAAAGATCTATTCAGGGAAATTATAATACCCCGAAAAAGAAACCAAAGAGAACCTCAGAAAGTGGAAAGATATCCCTTGTTCATGGGTAGGAAAAACAAACATTGTGAAAATGGCCATTCTCCAAAAATTGTTATAGAGTTTTAATACAATCCCAATCAAAATACCACTAGCGTACCTCATAGATCTAGAGAAATCTCCTAAAATTCATCTGGAACCAGAAGAGACCTAGAATAGCAAAAGGCAATTCTAAGCAACAAAGACAAGACAGGAGACATCACAATCCCTGGCTTGAATTATACTACAAAGCTATTGTAATAAAATCAACATGCTACTGGAATAAAAACAGATCTGAAGATCAATGGAATAGATTAAATGATACAAATGCAAACTACAAATACAATACAATACAACTACAAATGCAAACACACTCAGTCACTTATCTTTGATGAAGGGACCAAACATATCCACTGGAAGAAATAATGTCTCTTCAATAAATCGTACTGGAAAAATTGGCTTTTCATATGCCGAAAACTAAAACTAGACCCATGCCTACCACCATGTACTAAACTAAAGTCTCAATGGATCAATGATCTAAATATTAAAACAGAAACACTAAATCTGTTGGAAGACAAATTAGTAGAAATCTTGAAGACATAGGGGTAGGTAGACAATTAATGAACACGAATCAAACTGCATACAAAATATTTCCCAGAATCAATAACTGGAATCATGTTTTATTAAAGAATTTCTGCATATGAAAATAAATCTCGAGCATAGGATAAAAACCCACAAATTGAGGAAAAAACTCTTAGTGAACTGTCCCTCAGACAAAGGACCGCTGTCTAGAACATTTAAAGAATTTTTAAAATTCAGAACCCCGAAACTCAAAGACCCAACCCAAAAATGGGCATCTGAGATGAACATACAGTTCCCAGATGAAGAAATACAAATGACAAATAAATACATGAAAAAAGGGTTAGCATCATTAGTCATTAGAGAAATGCAAATTAAAACCACACTGAGATTCCATCTCACTACAGAAACATTGGCCAGGATAAAGAAAACTATCAACGACAAATGCTGTAGAGACTGTGTGGGAAAAGGAACTCTTCTGCCCTGTTGGTGGAAGTGCAGACTGGTGCAACTACTGTGGAGGTCAGTCTGGAGGTTCCTCAAAAAGCTGAGATTGGAAATGCCATTTGACCAGCTATTCCACTTCTGGACCTATTCCCAGAAGAACTGAAAACATCATACTACAGTGATGTATGTACTCCCATGTTTATAGTAACACAATTTGTAATAGCCAGATCTTGGAAACAACCAAAGTGTCCATCAACTGAGGAATGCATAAAAAAGATGTGGTATTTTTATGCACTGGAGTAGTACCCAGCTCTAAAGAATGATCACATTGAGATATTTATAAGTAAATGAATGCAACTTGAGACCATACTCATAAGTGAAATAAATCAAACGCACATGTGTAAATACCATATAGTCTCCCTAGTGCAAGAAAAGGTAAGTGTACATAAGATTTTACAGTAATCAAGATTTCCCACTATATTGATTTGAAGTCTCATAATGTTTTCATTCATTGGTTGTAATAGTTTTATTCTTTTTTGTTTGATTTTATTTTGTATGATGGTATGAACAGCTACTTTGGAGAAAACAAGACATTGTGGCAGCCATTGCTTATTTACTATCATCTTGCTTTGAACTCCTACCATGCTTTTGTTCCTCTGTTTCCATTGGTTCTATTCTATTGTGTCTTGATGGATTTTAATATGTGATAGTATAAACATTTTTTTAAGGAAAATGAGATATTATACTAGCCATTGTTCATTTTCTGTTATATGGTCTTGGATGTCTGTAATACTTTCATTCTCTTGAATAATTTTATACTATTTTGTTATGTTTGGGATTATTGTGTGTGAAGGTATGCTCAACTGTTTCAAAGAAAGGAGATATTATGGTAGCTACTGTTGATATCTGGTTGTCTTGTGAAGTGCTGTGTTGCTTGCATTGTTCTGATTTGCTTTGTTCTGTTCTCTTTCATTTTATTCTCTTTAAAATAAAAAAAGAAAATATAAATGAATAAATTTTACTGATAGAAAGGAAAACCCCTCATAGCCAACATCTGTGTCACAATGTGTTCCTGACAATTGCCTTCTCTGTCTGCTCTGCCCTCCCCAGAACAGGAGCTGCTTGGTAGCCAGAAACCACTGGAACATGAGGTAGCCTGTGGAGCAGTCAGCTGGTCGAATGCAGAACCACAGAATGGTAGGGCATTGGTGCAGGGATGCTGCTCTGTGTAGTGATGGAGGTGCTTTTGGCAGAGCTCCACAGAGCCTTGGCTTGAGGTGGAACTGCCTCTCAGATGGAAGTTAAGAGGACATCATCACTTCTAGCTTGGGATGGAGGGCCTGGATGTGCTCTTGGAGCTGGGAGCGGCAGATCCAGTGACCCACTTCCTGCAGCCCCGCCCACCTTCTGACATATCCTTCATCTGTGATCTCATCAGGAAATGAACCATAAGGAAGTTAGTACCTCTCCATCAGTAAACCTCTTCAGGAATCCCTTAGTCAAGTTGATGATCAGGATTCCTGTCACACACCGCTGGAAACTGTCCCCATAAGAGTACACCCAAAAGCACACCACAAAGAGCCTGGTCACATCCCCAGGTCCTTGCAGGAGAGTGTCAGATGGCTTAGAGAAGCATTTTTGTAGCACAGAATCTGATCAGTTTTTAAAAATCTTACACTGCCTGTTGAAGGAAAGCGTGCTCTTTTTAAGGGAAAGGTTCTGCACCTTGTGTCACTGGCTCCTGGTTAATATTCAAAGCATCATCACTGAATTTAGTACTTGCTGAATTAATCCAGCACAATCAGAGTTTCAGAGTACAGGCATCGTACAGTCCATGGGAATATGGAAACTTCTGGGTTTCTGCTTGTATTTTCATAGGAGACAACTTGTAAAGCAAGTTTTTCTGAAAATTTGCTATTATTTGATTAGTATATATATATATTGTCTTTTTCCTTTTTATCGGTACTGGAGATTGAACTCACGACTTCCTGCTTGCAAGGCAGGCGCTTATGCCGCTGAGCTAAATCCCCAGCCCGATTAGTATATTTTTGTGACACATCATATTTACTCTCATCTTTGTAAATTGATATATATATACAAATTCTTGTTTACTTTTATTCCCCTTCAACTCCTATATTTCCCTCTTCTTTTTTCTCCAGATCCTCCACGTTCTACACGGAGATTACTGTGCTATTTCCACTGTTTCTCTTTCATTTTGCTCTTTAATATATTTATATTTTGGATCTCTCTGACACAACACGGCTCTCTACCACCACCAGGACTGTGTACTGCACAGAGGCACTGTGTGTCCCACTTATGGCTTCTGTGCTTGCACTATCTGTGATCTATGCTGGCTACTTCTACAACATGGAAGAGCACTTACAATGCAGAAAACTTGGAAAATAGTGAAGCACTGCTGCCCTCCCTCCCCACCAACTCCTACCAGGTAGGCCAGCATTGACTGTGGGCATAGTGCTGTCAAGTTGTTTACTACATTCACACACACACACACACACACACACAGACACACACACACGGACTTAGTTTATCTTGAGTTTGTGGATTAGCTTAAGGGGTTGCCTTCCTCACTCTGAAAGCTGTACCCCAGAGGAAAACACTGAGCTCTGCACTTCACAGGTTTTCCTTCTGTCTCTGTATACATGCAGAACTCACTCTATAAATAATGACACACGTTTGTGCGAGGTGCTGACCAGTGGTCACAGCCTGGATTCTTTGTTTCCATCTCTGTGAAAGAGTAGCACCATCAGGAAGCACTTACTTTGGGAGGCTGTGTACCAGCTCCACATCACATAGCCAGGGATGGTGAGGGAGATCCCAGGACCAAAGGCCATCCTACAAACCATTGTGTGGTGTGGTTGCATGACATGGCCCTCCCTCATGTTGAGTTTTTGGTTTACATAAAATGAATTTCCTTTTCAATTTCTAGTCTAGGTTCAATTCTCAGCATGTGGATTTCCCAATATCATTTATTAAAAGCACTATCTTTCTTCCAGTGAAGGTCTTGGGCTCCTTTATCATAGCTAAAGTAACCAAGTACACTTGCAAGTGTTTCTGCATTTACTATTCTGTCCAGCCAATTTTCAGGTCTGTTCCTTTTTGGTAACATCATGCTGTTTTTATCATGGTAGCTTTGTTTTAACTTTAAGTCAGGGATTGTGATGTCCTTCACCTTGCACGTGTTGCCAACAAGTATTTTCACTATTCTCTTCTAGTTACATATGACTTTTAGGATTGCTTTCTCTAGTTTTGAGAGGTACACTATTGTTATTTTTCTTCAGAGTGCACTAAATCAATGTAACAGTTTGGAAAGTATGTCCATTTTCACTATATTGTATTCTGAAGCTGCCTTTCCAAGAACAGGGGATATCGCTCCATTTCCTGATATCCTCTTTGATCTCTTGTTCAGGATGCTGTAGTTTTCAAAGCACAAATCTTTAACTTCCTACTAGAATGATTTCTAAGTATTTCATTTTTCTTAATGCTATTATGAAAAGTGTCACTTCCTTACCTTTTCTCTCAATGAGTTTGATATTAGTGTTTAGAAATGCTAATGATTTCATTTCTTTATCTCAATCTGATACTTTGTATCCTGCTATGCTGCTGAATTTTGTTTTTAATTTAGGAGTCTTTTGGTGGAGTTTTATAAGGTCTTCTATGTATACTGTCATGCCATCATCAAATAAAGATAACTAAACTTCTTCCTTTCCTACCCATATTCCTCTTATTTATTTTTCTTTTTTAAAAAAACAAGAATATAGTGCTTTAACACTTACAAATCTTTCACATACATTCTCATTTGACCCTCATAGCAACCCTGTGAGGTAGGCAGCACAGATGTACTCATTTAACAGACAAGGAAAGTAAATCTCAGGGTGATTAATGTGCCCAAAGTTCTACAGTTAGTAATTTATAGTAATATCAGTCTTTGGCCTAATAATTCAGCACTCAGACTCCCCTTATGTGTGCTCATCTACTTCACAGGAATGATGAAAATAAAATGAATTCAAGGCTATAAAAGTACTTTGAAGGGGAAAAAGCACTATATACCCCAAAACTATAATTGTCCATAATAAATGGCTCATTATCTTCTCATTCCAGCTTGTGCTTGAACCTAGAATGTTATATTACCTCTGTCTGTATGAACTAAGCAAATAGGTAAGGCAGGGTAACAGCATGATCCTGTTCAACATTATATAAATCACAATTGGGGTAACTGCATTATTAAGCAAAATGAACACACAAAGGCTAATAAGCAACTAGGACTCACTAAAGTACACAGTAAAGCAAGGCAACATTATCAGATGTTATCAGGGCATGGTTACGTAGAAGAAAAACTTGGTGTCAGAGTTCAAACTGGCACACACATCTAAGGCAAAGTGGTGGCCAAGAAGAGTTACTTGACCTTCCAAAAACATTAATATAGTCAGCTATTTAACACCCCTAAACACACTTGCTGTTATATCCGTTAGAGCTCTTTTTTTTCCCCTCTCTTTTTTACAACAAAATTTACACATTTTGGATTTTATTACTTATTGGATTATTTGGATCTTATTACTTTTTGGGTGGGGGGGGAGAGCGAGCTGTGCAAGAGGTGGGCAGGGCGATGGTGTGGGTATAAAGGACCCACTCTAAAGAGGAGAGGCTGCATACATACATTATAAGGGAGTTAAGGAGGTTTGTACCCCACTTTTGCTCCTGCTGCTGTTGCTGTCCTCTGCTGTCTTGAAATACTGCCCCTGTGCCATACCACCCTACCTTGGAGCCAGCTGATTAGGGGCTGAAACCACCCAAATAGTGAACTAAATAAACCTTTCCTTTTTTAATTTTGAATGTCCAGTGTTTTGTCTCAATAATGAGAGAAAAGTTAACTATGACAAGGTAAGAAGACCTCCTAGATCAGGTTCTGCTCTTTACTCTCTGAATGAAAAATGTTGTGGGTCTGCAGGTCCTTGTCAGTCTCCATGGGTGTTAATTTATTCACTTCTTGGACATTACTGCAGAAAGGTCAATGGCGAGATGAATAATTTGGCTGAGCTAATGCCTCAGCCCTGGCCATCGATTCACAAAACTCAATTTTCACAAATGTCTCCCTGTCTTAACCAAATATGCTTCAGACCTTGGAGCAAAGGATGTTCTGAGTGGTGTTTGTGAATAAAGACTTAAAAGTTTGAAGCCTCCCAACTGAAATTTCTGAAATGATAGCAACTAAAGAAACAATTTAGGGCTTATATTGTTTAATTAACTTTTCATGCCTATATCTGGTAGTTTGAGTAACTATTTAGAGGATAACTATGTGCACTGTAATAACGATTGTTGATTTCCTACTGTCTTGTTTTTGAAATCCAAGATTGTTCTCATTGCTTTGTTCTGTTTCATGTTATTGCTTTGTTTTGTTCTATTCTCTTTAAAATAAAAAATAATGACAAAAAAAGAAGAGTTACTTGTTCCACACTATATAAACAAGAGCAGAAAAGTTGTGGGGACCCATGCAAAAGCATCATATGTCACACAGTTTCTCCAGTTGCCTACAGGGAATATAAACACTGTGATCGTCACTGTAAAGCATGATTGTACCTGTGCTCATATTCTGAACTAACCCAGGGAATAGCTCCACCTAAATGTCCTTGGTTAAAATACAATCAGTAATATTACTTCTAATCAGACTAATAAATAGAATGTCTTTTAAGGTAATGAATTAGATGGCTGTTTAGGTTTCCTTCAGAATTTACTTTGAATTCTCCTACTTTAAGACCCAAAGAAAATTATATTGAGTTTTTATTGGTGATTCTAAGTATATGCGTTTATAACATTTAAAGTGTGACGGGTGAATTTAACATATTAAAAGTTTTATAGCACCTGTGCAGAAAGGATTATATACTATACAAACTTCCTGTCATACAAAACCATTTTTCAGTGTCTTTTCAACTGAGAAGAATCCTATTCAGCACGCTTCTCCTCCAGAGGTGGTACATACTGAGCAGCTTGCTTTCAGTTTTTTTATTTTCTTCTATAGTAGTTTCATATTTCTTTTTCATTTCTGCCAATTCTAGGCAAAGCAGCTTGATTTCTGGATTTTCTGGGGTACAGCTCCTAAATGATGCTTTTAAAAATCCAAAGCACTATTAGGTTCCTATGGTTCTTCATATAAGGCTACCAACACCTTGGTAAATGTGTCCAGCACCCCCGACTTCTCCATGTACTTCCAGAACTGTTCAATATTCAATTCGGCAGCTTTGCAATGGGCCATAGTGACAGGGACAGTGGGGTAGCTGGTGCCAGAGACCGTAGCAGACCTATTTTTCTTTTCTAATTCCTCTAATGTTTCCAGAACTATATGGAAGAGAAGTGATGATAGTGGGCCTTCTTGTTTAGTTCCTGATTTTAGAATGAATGCTTTTGATCTTCAACCACTTAGTGTGATGTTGGCTATTGGCTTATCGTAGATGGATTTAATCAGATTGAGAAAAAGAATTTCTTTAAGGTGTTTGTCATAAATATGTATTGGGCTTTGGCAAATGGCTTTTCTACATCTGTTGATATGATCATGTGGTTTTGATTCTTGATTCTATTAATGTGGTATACTATAATTTTTAATTTACTTTTGTTGAACCATTCTGAATCCCTGAGATGAATTCTACTTTTTCATGGTTTATAGCCATTTTTATGACTTGCTGCAATCTCTGCCAGTATTTCATGGAGGGTTATTTCATGTATGTTCATTATGGAGATTGGCCTTTAATTCTCTTTTTGGTTAGTTTCCTCTCTGGTTTTGGTGTCAGGATAATGCTTGCTTTCAGGAATCACTGTAGGGGTATTGCTTCCTTTTCAATGTTTTAAAATGTTTCAGGAGTATTGATACTAGCTCTACTCTGAGGTTCATATAGAATGCATCAGCAAAACCTTGGAGACCCGTACTTTTCCTTTTGAGTAAGTCTTAAAAATAGTTCTTCAAGGTTATTGACTGATAATGAGTTATTTTGAATTTTTATACCTTCTTGTTTCAGCTTTGATAATTCAAATATATAAAGGAATCTGTCCATTTCTTTTGAGCTTTTCAGTCTTATTAGAGTATAAATTTTTATGGTAGGTATTGATTATCTTTTAAATATTTGCAGGATCCATTGTGATTTTCCACTCTCATTCCTAAATGCATGAAATTGGACCTTTCCATTCCATTCTTTAGATATGTTTGGCTAAAAGCTTTTCTGTTTTAATATTTAAAAGAATTAACTTTTTTTACTTTATTGAATCAATGAAGTTTTCTCAGTATCAAATGTATTAATTTTTGTTCTAATTTTTAAAATTTCTTCCCTTTTACACACTGGGTTTGACAGACTATTCTGTTCTAGAAGATTTAAGTTCGATATTAATTATTAATTTGATCTCATTTTATTTTCCTGGGAATTCACTGACATAGACTTTTCTCATAGGACTGCTTTCATTTTGTTCCATAAGTTCTAGAATATCATATTGACATTAAACTTTTATTATAAAGACTTTGTAATTTCTTCATTAATTTCTTCTGTGACTCATTGGTTGTTGTATAATTTCTAAGTGTCTACTTGATCTGTCTACTTGTGACTGTGGGATACTCAGGGCCCTATTACAATTGTATTAGAGCTTATTTGATTTTTCTTACCAATTTTTTTACAATGGAGTACTACTCAGCTATAAAGAAGGATCACATTGAGCTATTTGTAAATAAATGTGCACAGCTTGAGACCATACTCATAAGTGAAATAAATCAAACTCACATGTATAAATACCAAATAGTTTCCCTAGTGTAAGAAATGATAACAATACATAAAAGTATATGGTAATAATGATTCCCCATTATATTGCTTAGAAGCCTTATAATGTTTTCATTCATTAATTGGAATGGTTTTATTCTGGGTTGTTTGGTTTTATTGTCTGTGATGGTAAGAACAGCTATTTTGAAGAAAACAAGACATCATAATAGCTAGTGCTGATTTAATATCATCTTGTTTTGAAGTCCCATAAAACTTTTGTTCTTCTGTCTCCATCGGTCTTAACATGTTATATTTTATTTATATATGATAGTTACAAACAAAAACTTTTGTAGACAAGGAGATAATATAGAAACCATTATTCACTTTCTGTTAGTTGGTTCTAAATACCCTGTAATACTGTCATTCTCTTGAATAGTTTTACATTGTCTTGATGTGTTTGATGCTACAGCATACAAAGTTATACTCAAATATTTTAAGGAAAGAGACACTACGGTAACTACTGTTATGTCGAGATATCTTGTGGTGAAACACTATGTTGCTTAAATTGTTATGTTCTGACCTGTGCTGTTGTATTGTTATGTCCTCTTTTATCTCAATCTCCTTTTTTATTAATTTTTTATTTGTATTTTTTAATTAAGGGAAAAATAAATTTAAAATAGCAGGATATATTATAGTAACCATTTGATTTCCTATCAATTTGATTTGAAACCCTATATTGATCTCACCATCTTGTTTTGACTGATTGTACTCTATTCTGTTTTGTTTGATAGTATCAAGTTTGAGAGTATAGGCAACTACTTTGAAGACAGTAACATTCACTATGATGCCCATTCTGGTTTGACTATTATCTTCTTTTGAAGTCCTGTAATGTCTCCAATGTTTTGGTTTTATTGATTTTGTTCTGTACTGTTTTGTTCAATTTTATTATAACTGATGATATAGGCCATTCTTTTTAAGAGAGCAAGAGGCATTATTGTAGCCATTGTTGATCACCTTGTATTCTGTTTTTATATCATGTACTATGTCTATCCTTTTGATTTGACTGACTCTGTTTTGTTATGTCACATTTGGTTTTATTCTCTTCAAAAAAAAAGTAATAAGAACTGTGGGAGTAATAAAACCCAAAATGTATAATTGTTATTGTAAAAAAGATAAGAAAAGAAAATGCTCTAAAGGATATAGCTGCATGTATATTTAAGTGTACAAGATAGATAGCCATATTACTGAATTTTTGTTGGATCATTGAACACAACTGTTTGCAATTTCACTGTTTGAATGTCCACTTTGTATGCTTTAATTTTGTAACTTGAACAACTATTTCTAAGATGACAATATGTAATCTATTAACTGATTTCTTACTGTTTATTTTTTTGAAATTCTGTATTACTTGTACCCTTTTTCTGTTTTTTTCTCTTTAAATAAAATTTTTTAAAAATTAATTAAATTTATTGGTATATTTTAGGTAAAGAAGTAATTTGCACTTATAGCTATGTTTTATTATCAAGAAACCAAACAATAAGAAATTATGAGAGTCTGTGGGGAAAAAGTAATCCTTCACTGATGGTGGGTATGTAGAGGCACAACCATTGTAAAACTTGGAGTGGAGATTTATCAAAAAACTAAAACTAGTTTTAGCTCCATTTGACCCAGCTATTGTATTCCTCTTCCTAATATCTTCCCAAAAGAATTAAAGCATCATAGCATTGTGATATAAGCACACCCATGTTTATAGCAACATCATTTATAATAGCTAAATATTGGCAACAACACAAATGCTCACCAAGTGATGAATGGATAAAGAAAATCATATTTTTCTCTTTACAATGCAATACTACTCAACCATAAGGAATAAAT